AACCCAGGTCATCAAATATATCATTTTACGTTTGAAGCCTGGATATAATAATAATAATACTTTATTTGTTCTGGGATGAGTCCCTTTAAAATAATACAGAAAGACAGAGATATGGGCTAAGGAGCCTCAGAGATACATAAACAAAAATACTGAGTAATAAAATAGTCATAGTAAAAAAATATATATAACTTAACTTTTAATTTGAATCATTAAATAAAAAAATAAAAAACATGTAATAATAATGAAGAACGGACTAATAATGTATCAAGCGCTTTGAAGAAATCTAGAAGGATGAGCATAGTAAGATTTTGGTGTTCAATGGTGTTTTGGAGGTCATGGGTTATTTTAATGAAAGCGGATTGAGTGGTGTAGCCAGGTCGAAAGTCGGAATTGGTTGATAAGGGAACGTTCCTCTTGGAAGTTGGAGAGTTGATTTTGGACAAGGCGTTCTAACGGCTTTGAAAGGTTGGATATGAGAGAAATAGGATGTAAGGCGTGCAGTGAGGTAGGATTGGAAATTTTCTTCAAATTTTTTCAAATATATAATTTTTTTCTAGTGGTCGAGTTCTCTATTATTTGACCATTCCCAATCATTTGTTCGTGTGGCTTATACCTGCCAAAAAATTGTGTTTTTTCCTATTCTTGCTATTTAAATTTCCCAACACTGTTTTAACATTACACTTGGCGTTGAAAACTCGTTCTTTAAAATTCTTTATTTCTTCATTACAACTTTTTCAGGCCGATATTTAGGAAAACACTTCCTCTTTTGTTCAGAATATGTAATATTTAAATATTGATGCCCGAATCAATCTCTCAGGTTGCTTTTGTACTACAATTAATAAGTCAACATTAGGCAATTGACCACGTGGATGGTTAAAAACCAGGTATATAGATCGATTCAACAAATATGCAGTAGAGCTAGATGTAGATAAATGGAAAGAAATAGCTCAAGATGAAGGAAGGAGGCTGGTAGATCTAGGCTGGTTTAGGCGCCAAAAGATTTAAAATATCTGTAATTCCAATAGAAAAAAAATATTAGCACATTGGTTGCGGATTGAATACAAATCTAACTAGAAGAGGACTGGAAACTATATCAACCCCTTCAGCATTGGTATCGAATGAACATACCAAGATTTTACCCTCCTGTTTTTTTTCAGAATGATTTACAACATTTCTTTTAGATTTATCATCAGTTTGTGCGTGAAAACTTATCTGGGAGACATTGCAGAATTTCGCTTATAATCTCAACCTGCAACTTCTCTCATTGTCCATTTTTGATTTAAGATCATTAGTGGAGATTGTCTGAGTAAGTATAACCTAGTTGCATTACAGGATATTAGTTGAGGAATTCAACTATAGTACACCTGAACAAATACATCCATTTATATATTGGACATGAAGACCATATATTTAGGATGTTATTCATGCCAAAAAAGAAACTCAAACATATAATTATAGACTGAGCTTAATGTAAAATCATCAAAAATACGCTGAAGTAAAAAAAATTAGGCATGTGGTTGGATCTGATATTTTAAAAAGATAAGAAAAACCGTTTCAACACATAACAGGCAACCTTCTAAATCATGCACCAATTGCAGGTTTTAAAGAGATATAAATTTTATGACAGAGCCTTGGCATGAAATGAGACCTATAATTGTGGGGTTGGAGAACCAATAAACTACGATAATTTAAATCCCATGCTTCTGCTATGCAACCTTCTGTAAACAGGTTAATTACAGCTCTTTTCCATGTATTGAGGTGAATTAAATCATCTTTAACTATAAGCATAATATAATTCAGCTGTGGTAAGCTATGTTCAAACAAGAATTATAGCGTATATCTGTTATTACTTAGATAAATTATTAACATTAGAAGAGTAGAGTTGGCATTGAAACACTTAGATTTCATGAATCATGTTCCACGGGTATAGATTCAGTGATTACGATATTTTTTTTACCTTCCAAATGTAAGCATCTCCTCCAGGGGAATGACCTGGACGACACGCAGCTATAGAAGATTGTGATTGATGAAGGGAGATCTCACTGTCATTCGTGAAGCTATACGTTTAACACATTATTTGTATGTTGTTGTTTTTCTCGTCTGAGCTCCTCACACATGTCGTCAATCACAATATGATTCTTGAAACCCATAAAATAAAATAATTTCTTGTAAGAATTTAATCAATTAGTAATGGACACATAAGAAGACCCTTTCATTCATCCTCTCGAAAAATGTAAAATCATAAAATTCAATATTAACCATAAAAAACCTCTTTTAACTTAGGCCATAAGTACAATAAAAATAAACAGTACTCCCAATTCCCCATCCCTCTCTTAAAATACACCGTGTGCAATAAAAGAGGTCCCATATTTAATTATCGGCCTACCCCCTGTTCTCAACACCATATCCATTGAGATTAAGAAAAAAAAAATACTTACATCGCATATTCATTTATTTGTAACAGTTCCAGCCTTATATTGGACAATTTGAAACATCTGACCTTTATATAAATCTAAATCAAAATATTTAATTTTTATTAGGCCTTTTGTATAAATGTTTTACACTGCTAACCACCACCTCAATATACAAATTTTTATTTTTTAAAAACTTCTGTTTTTTTTTATTTAGACAAATATTTTTGTCAATCCCCTCCTTGTTGATATTTTTATTCTAAAAAACTCTTTTATTAATAAACGTATATTTTAAAAATTAAGTCAAAACCAAATAAGCAAACAAATATTTAGCTAAGCAAAATATCCATATAAAAGACCTAATGAAAATTTCATATTTATTTGGCGTTTGATAGTTTGGCACCCGGGACTGCTGTACAAACTCCGAAAATTCTTACCACCTACATACTTCCTCATTATCCATTCCTGCCTTACTGATAGATACTTTAAAGTAAATCACAAAGACGCCTATTCATGCCTTTTTTCCCAGTCTGCTGGTGTTCCTCAAGGTAGTATCCTAGGTCCTATCCTCTATACAGTTTATACAGCTGACATCCCTACCTATCCCAACACTGTCATCACCACATATGCCGATGACACATGTATCCTATCAGTAAATAATGACCCATCAATTGCATCCCAAATGCTTCAATCACACATCATAAATCTTGAAGAATGGTGTCAAAACTGGAGAATTAAAATAAACTCCAATAAATCCCATCAAATTACCTTTACCCTTAGTCGTAAACCAACGACTGCCTGTCCTACAGTATCCTTTAACAATACTCCACTTATCCCTGTTGAGAAAATCCGATACCTAGGACTCCACCTGGACAAACGACTAACTTGGAATCCTCATACTAGACTGAAACGACAAGAAACCGCTCGACGTTTCCGATTACTTCAGCACTTACTAGACAAACGATCTAAACTTCCCATTAATTACAACAGATTCATATACTTGACTATAATAAGACCTATTTGGACTTACGGAGTTGAGCTGTGGGGCTCCACTAAACCATCGAATTCCTCTCGCATCCAATCCTTACAATCCAAAATACTTCGTAAAATCCTCAATGCTCCTTACTTTGTCACTAATAAAATTATCCATAAAGACCTTAATGTTCCTTATGTTTCAGATCTGGCCCAATCCAGATACCTATCCTTCCATAATAAACTTCAGAATCATCCCAACCCTCTCATTTCTAACCTTGCTTCCTCTTCAATTCCTGATAACCCTCCGAGGCGTCTGAAAAGAAGATGGCCCCGTGATCTCCTAATGTAGTCATATCATTAGAGTGCTACCATTGGGTAGTTACTCAGCAAGTGTATTCATGTCATTATATCTATTATGTCCAAATTTACTAGATGTATTTATTTAATACAGTTGTAAATGTCATTAAGAAATAATTATTTATGAATATATTGTATATAAAGATAATGTTTTGAAAATGGCCAAAATAAGGCCAAAATGTTGTAAATAAATATGTAGTTTAAGTGATGTAGTTTAATTAAGATTTTTAATTATTAATAAAGAATTTTATTGCTTTATATCTTTTTTGGTATGAAAAAAGGGTGACATTTAATTAATTAATTACATTTTTATAAACCATTTTTCACCATTACCCTTTGTCTTAAACCTATGACTTTCTGTCCTACTGTATCCTATAGGATTCTGTATTCAATACATTCAAATACCTCACTAATCCCTGTTGACTGATACCTAGAACTTTAAATTGGAATACCTGACTGAAACGACAAGAAACTGCTCCATGTTTAAAAATAAACCTAATCCACTGATATGTTTATCGTCTATGATACAACGATATTTAGAACTGACAGAGAATTCCTTACCATTTTTATTATTCATTCTTTCAATAGTTTAAATACTAATCGAATGCACTTATTAAAACAATTTATAATTAATGTAAATCCCATTTCTAATTACAATTATTTCTTTTGAATATTTTGTAATAAAAAAAAAACTGCAATAAAAAAACTCCAAATCATCAGCATAACCAAGCACTATATATTTGTTCACTATGTCAATATAGATTGACTGAGATTAAAACATTTTTTAGTATGCATTATGCCCCTAATGGTAAGCTAAATAAAATAAATAAAAATAAGGTGCTATTTCATGACAGTAGTATCGCATGCATTATCCTACAACTGTCTGAACCCGTATAACCGAAAGACTAGGTAGAAAAAGGAAGTAATGTCAACAAAAAGACATGATAAAATTATTAAAAAATCAATACATCTATTAATGTTAATTAACGTTTAAGTAGAATAAACTTAGCATTAATAAATATGTCAAGAGACAGAAATATGAAATATAAACTAAGGAGATATAAAATACCGATAGCAAAGTTAGGAATAGAAATATTTTTTTAATCATCATTAAATCATATATTTTTAATAAATAATATTTTTTAAAACTATAATATATGTATTTATAACTATAATAACATTTTTTAAAACTATAATATATATATTTAAGTAAAAAATGTTGACATTATTGGCACTAGTTTATCTGCAAGGTGTTACCTGTGGCATATAGCCAACATCCTCCCTCCTCCTCACCGCCAACCGGATGGTCCCAGAGTCTAAAGAAGTTCTTCCGATGATGCAGTTGAGGAGTGTCGTCTTCCCACACCCGCTGGGCCCCAGCAATGCATAACTGCAACAACAACAACTTCACTACTAATGCTCCTATGTTCTTCCTTATGTATAAAAGAAAAAAATACTCAAAGTTCAGAGTTTAAAAATATAGATCATGAGTTTTATTATAGACTCCAACAGTGAATTTTTTAATTATTAATGTTTATGATCACTGGAATATACTATTTGAATGGAATATAACGTCGTTATTTGGACTGTGATATGTCATTGTTATCATATTGTGATAAGAAAAAAGTCAACAAAACTAACAAGTCAACTAATCTTCCTTATTTTATAATTTTAGTTTATTTTTCTCCAACTTACGAAGCATTAAATCAACGTGAACAAGTTACGATCGCATAAGAAAATATATCATTAGCAAAGAATAATAGCTTTGAATGTCCTCTTAAATCATATGAAATTACTACGTAGATTGCACTAGAGAAAAAAGTCGTTTGTATAACTAACGAGGTAGGAAATACAATACCCCCGGTGTGTGGCGAAACTTTGAAAACAATCCAATCACTGGAATATAAATTAAACTATCACAAAGATTATTTATAAACGACATTTATTTGGAATTTACCACATATCAGTCAAATTAGTGTGTGTTTGTATCAACATGTAAATATACGTTTTTATCTATCGATTGATATATTTGTAGTTGTATACAAGTACGTCCTTCCTAGTGCTGTACTTGACATTAGTGGGAATATAATCAAGAGATTGGAACGTAATGCTGACCATATAGTTTCCAAAAAATGCCATACTACATTAATTCCGGATCCGTTGGGTTCCTGGATTGATTATAGAGTCTACCTTATATGGAGTTAGTCTCAGATACTTCTTGATGGTGCGCCAGAATTAGCATAATGAGAAAAGATATTTATCTCCTAATATTTAAATTTTCACACAAATATGTCAAAAACCTGATTTATTCTATGTCTAGGAATAATAATAGCTAGAAAATATTTATAGAACCTATCATCAAAGAACCTTGAGCAATAAAGAATGGTGTGGACCTATAGATCATTTTATAGGTGAGAACTCATTAATATTTTATGACATCCGGTTAGTTTATAGTCTTTCATATTGATAACATGTCCTACAATCTATAAAAGCATTGAAATGGCTTTAAAAATAAAAGTTATTAAATTATAAAATTTGTTTTTATGGGCTAGGTCTATTTATATTAATTGTAATAATTACTCCAGTTGAGATAAATAAAAGCCAGGTCTAACATAGAATGAACATCTAAATAATGTTTTATTGATTTGTTTTTTAAGCTACGTTTCATAAAACTAAAAATCTATTGGGTTGTCCGAACATAATGCAGGATTCTGAGTTTTTCTTTACCCCTCTATATAACAAACTGTTTACGTTTAGTGGATTATTCATTTGTATGGATGTCAACATTTATTAATCCTCTTCCAAACGATAATGTTGTTTACCGCTGTAGCATTTCGCTGCATAGAAATAATTCAGTATTTACAAGGTTGTCAAGGCGTGATTTTCGTATAATTTTGTTTTACAAATTTAAACTCTGTTCGTTTTTATGAGAAAAAAAATGTTGAAACATAGGGGCCATAAATTTAACTTTTTGTTTTTAGATTTATTCTATTATTTTTATTGAAGATTTTTGAACCTTATGTAATTTCCAAAGTCTTTACCTTAAACTACTTAGAAATCAGGGCCTTTGAGTCCGATGACCGTTTAATATGCTCCTAGACCTTGTAACGTGTACTCGTTCAAAAATCAAAGGTTGAATCAAGAAGAGAGCACAAATGATGATTGAAAGATAATTACAGTTGCACCCTTTAAAAAATTAGATAAAGTATGAATCGATCACCTAAAACGGTCGATAACCTGAACAGTAGTGTTGTTTTGCATAACCTATCATTAATATAATATTCAGCTCATTAGCTGATGCGGTTTTTTCACAGGTGTGAGATGATTAATTAAGCTAACATAAATACAATTCAAGGAATCATTTGAATCATAGGATCATCACAAAATCGAGAAAAATGGTGGCTTAAAAAAATATTTGGTTGTTTGGTCTATAAGTACCCTCGTTATTTTGACATGTTGGAGATAACCCTAAATTGCCCAATATTTTATTAAGTAACCTTTTTTTTCCTTCTTCGATTTTTGATCAAATTTTGTTACGATTGAAAGGAAAAGCAAATTGTGTTGATAAGTTTTTATTTATTCATTAGATCGACAAATTTTACTGATCTCCAAATTAAAAACGCCCCATTTTCGAGAATTTTCGTGAATACAAAAGTTGTAGGTCACTATAAGATGAAGTCATAAATAGAGTTTTTGAATTTTAAGTTTTTGTCAGATATTAGTAATATGATTGTACCGGGGACTAAAACTCCTTTTATAGAACTAAAAATCAATTATCATTATTATCAGTTAGGTATTATCCTCACTGAAATTTTTCTAACATGACTTAAAAGCTGCATTTTCAAAATTTCTTGTTCTAAAGTACCTTATTCGAGTAAGTATTCGGATGCGCTAATTCCAGAAAAAAAGTGAAATGATGGGAGACCTGAAAGCAAGGACACCAGCTAAGAATAGATGCTGTTTTTATCTACGAAAATCAATAAATTATTGACCCTTCTCTCATATTATCAAGATCACGGTTTATGAAAAAGTCATAAGACCCATGGTTCTGAGAATTGGATGATTTCTAAAGCGTCAGGAAGGAAACTACTCGCATGAGAGAGAGATGTTTTCCGCGAAGTCTGTGGCCGGGTAGCAAACATAAGCGGTGGATAATTCACGCTTTGGTGTGAATATAGCTCTTCGTTGGATGAGGTGTGCAAGTTCTATCGTGTGAGGGTCAACGACAAAACAGATAGTTGGGTCATGTGGCGCGTATGCTCAGAGACTCAATTCCTAATCGCCTGTTCGAGGATCGACCTGTTGGATGATGTGGCAGGGCAAAAATATAAACTTAAGTAGTATATTTAAATCAAATATTCTATAAACAAAATTAAACCCTCAATAACTTTCGCGGTGATAGGTTGAAGCGAGGTCTGAAAATTATTTTTAGATGTTCAAACCTTTCTTTACAATAGTTCGGACGAATTGTGATCAACCAAAATTGATTGCAATTGTTTGAAATGTCGTAACAACTATGTATCTATTTAAAAACCGGTGTTTCAGCTGTCTTAGGATTCAAAAGTAACTAATTCTGCCCAGCACATATTATAATATGCCCTAATATGCCCAGGTTTGAATAAAAAATACCGGCAAACCAGCTCTAGATAAAAAAAAGATGGTTTTCATTTCTTCACCTATTATCTCACATCAGGGCATTATTAATGCGATAACTAAGTTTAAAATTACTGGATATGAAGGGGAAAAGATACTAGTTTGTAACTAATACAGTAAAACTTCCAAATTGCAACTTTAGTTTTTTCTCTGAAATCAGGGACAAAGTACCAATTTTCAAGTATTTTATTTTCTCGAAAAGTTGTATATATTGTTGAAACCAGATAGCTGGTGACATCGAATGTACTAAGAATGATTATTTTAAATATGTTTTCCATTCTGAAATTTAATGTGTGATAAGGATTTATATTAAATTATAGCTGAAAGGAAAAGACAAAATTCAAGGAAATGACAGTACAGAATACTTATTGTGATTCCTATATGTACTTATTTTGTACTGACACTAATACTCGATCACAGTAAAAGGGTTTAAAAATTTGTCCTTCAAGAGTTATTTTTACATTATTTTTTTTTTACTTAATTAATGAATCTTTAATTTTGCTGCCAGAAGCCACCTTCCATTTCAGTCTCATATTGTCACTAGAATAGTAGTTAACGTGTTCAGAGACAATTTAGCTGGGCCATCTGCGACCACCCTTTTGGAACATTTTTTTATTTGCTAGTTATTACATAATTGCTAAGAAAACTCTGATAAAACTATTTTAGTAGTTAACTAAATCACATTAATTGATGTGAAACCTATTAGAGGTCTATTTATATTTTCTCCTTGTGTAAATTGAGTTTCATTGGTTTAGTCCTTAGAACTTTTTCTTTCTGAAAATCTTTAGTTTTTATTCAGGTATAGAGATTAGTATGAGAAATTGAACTTAAATTAAACCAATTCTTAAATATTGTTTATATTAACTAAATTGTCATAGGGTGGATATTAAAATAAGGTACCATTATTTAGTGGAAAAGTACTTACTACGTAACTAAATTTTGAAAGTGTGGTGAGATTTACAGCAGAAATGTTTAGCGTTAATAATTTAAAACCATTGAGCGACTGCTTTCTTTAACTTTTTAAAATAAATTTGACTTAAATTGAGATAGATATTCCAGAAACAAACCTCGTTTACAAGTACTGGTTGAACTAATTTTATTATGTGTCGAGGAAATGAAAAAATACATTTCAAATTTAGGAGTAGAAGGATCGAAAAAAAAATTAAAAGAATGTTGGCAAGAAGTAGAGAGAGAGAATCACTTTATTATCATAAAAGGGTGCTGCCCAATTACATTGGGTTGCTTTAAACACAGCATACTTATTAATCGCTACAGACAATTTTCCAAAACTAATATACAATTATATAGTATTAAGAACATGTATGAGCATAATATACAATTTTTTTTTATCTATATATATATATTTTTTAATCATAATTTGTTTTCCTATATTTTTATTTATTTATTTTATTTTTACTATTTCTTTCATTCATTTATTAGAATTATACATCCCTTTCTGTTCCTTCTTTCACTCTATACATTTTTCTCGTTCCCTATATTTTCTCCTCTCTTTTCCTAACCTAATTCATAACATGCATACAAATACATAAAGTGCAATGGACGTGGTCAATAAATAATGTAAAAATGCTGTAAAACACGCATGCCTCCCCTCATGAACAAACTCTCTATCCATGCACATGGTGATGGATAATTCCCAGGGAGTCAAGGATTATATTCTCTGCCAACCTTGCTACGTCCTTTATGTCGACACCAAGGCCCTCCATGAAGCTCCTTTTT